CTCAAAAGTGACGTCATGCGTAAAAATCGAGCCGAAGCAACACCCCAAGGTGTTACAGCTCTCAATAAAAGAACCGAGAATAATAACGTGCGGCGCAGAGCACCTCGGCGGAGTAGAGGAAAAAAGCGGACAGTAAAAAATGAGGCGCGCACAGTTAAATATGTGGAGCATTTTAATCCCATCGGCGCTGTTTCAAGAAAAGGTTCTGGCTCTGGATTCGCGCGTCCTCTCTCTTCGTATAAAGCATGGGCACCGAGAGTATATACTGCAATGTTACAATTTACATGCAATTTATTTACCGAGAGCGTAATTTATCTGGGCGAGAGAGCGGCGCGCTGCTCACATGCTTTATTGTCTTTCGTGCAATGAGTTTTCAGTCACTAGGGGACAATTTATGAGGACCAATTAAAAGAGTGCCTCTGTCGTGTCCCCGACGGACCAAACAGCACAACACCACTACATTTTGCAGCTGATCAAACGCCGCCAAATATATATATTACCAAAAACGGCTCATGTATTTTGCCTCTTAATATAATATAAATAAATTCACACGGATGAAATTTCTTCCAAGTTTGCAATACAAAAGGCGAACTTTGGGAAAACAGACGAAAGTTTTCTGGAAATAATAGGAAGGGCGGAGAGAGGAAAAGAGAGAGATCGGTCATGCCCAGATAGCTTTATGGCCGTCCAGGGTAATATAAAAGAAATGAAAAACACCGCGTCTCACAATTCACCAAACTTTACTTCTGTCTGCCCGTGCACGGTGTAGGCCCATGAGTATTTGTATTTATTCAGCCGAAAGATGGATCGCACCGCAGAAGAAATTCCGAGAAAATTGCATTAAAGGACACATTTGCAAAATCCCCTTGAGATTTGTTAAGAAAAATCCACCTAATAATAAAAAAAGCCAAAGTCAAGGGAAAGGAAATCAATTATCGAATTATACAATTCGAGCCAGCGTAGGCTAAACGTGGCAACCTCGAGCTAGGCAGGTAAAACTAGTTCTAAATAGAATCATGGCTGCTGACCCAGCTGTTGTTCCGAGCTGCTCGCCCTCCCTAGCTCGCAAGACACAAAAACTCACGCACGCAGGCAGTGACCTTGCACGCCTATAATTCAATACAATTTTTTTCTTTAACTTCTTCCGTTTTTATACATTATATTTTTCTCCAGTGGCTTTTTAGGAAATGAAAATACACAATATGATGCATTTGGGCTTTATACATTTTATTATTGCAGAGGCCTAATGAATGAGACTCGCGGAGGGGTATTGCAATGGAATGGGGGAGCCAACGCGCTTCAGGGGCTTCCGCTGGCGCACGGACTAGGCATGCCGTCTATCGTAAATCTGCCGCACTAACGACCAACTTTATGGAATCGCAGTTGCCGCATGTTGAAATAGGTGGCTCCAGACTTGCAGACGTGCTCAACACCTTAACATTTTATTGATTTTAATCAACCACTGATCCAACTGCGCCTGTGCCTTCAAAGTAAAAATTTGGCCACGGATTTTTTCGAACAAATTTTTAAGCGTAATAAATAATTTTATTAGTTTTTAATCGGAGAAAATTTACGTGATTTGATTAAATTAATTAAGGTTGGCTCGGCTTGTATAATCTCGGCCGTCATCGCGTCATAAAAGCGATCGTAAAAAAGAAATAAACGCAGTCGTAAAACGCGGCGCACTCTACGTTCGGTGGTTCATTCATGCGGCGGCTCCTTTCATAAAAAGCAAGCAGGCAGGTCTTGCTGCTGCTCGATTTGATTATTAAATCTAACACGTGGTCGCTACAATAGCTGCTATTATGCCATCACAACAAACCATAAAACGAGAATTACTGCACCATTAAGGCCCGCCCCGCCCGCACTACTTGCGCCGCGGCAGCCATTAAGCCGGTGGGTATCCTTCCGCCGATAAATAGTGTGGCGTCTCACCTTGCGAGGGCGGCAGTCGTCACGCCATTAGCCACCTATCGAGCACATCGTAAAATTCTGCGCTTTGCAGCCAAATTACACGTCTCGTCTTATTTATTGACGGCCGCGATTTGAATTGATATCATGAAGACATAAACAATCATTCGAATCAGTCCGAAAGGGCGCCGCTCGTAAAATAAACCGCTAATGATGGGCCGAGCCGAGTTATCGAGTTACTGGCCAGCGCTCGCGCCACTTAACATGCTGTTCAAAGAGGGCTCTACCGGTGGTTTACGACATTGCCCACCTAAATGCTCATTACGCACACAGTAAAAAATTGCATATTGCTGAAATTTAAAATAATAAGCCAAAACTTATAACGACTTTATTTTAATAGAAATGTTTCTGAATAAAAATTTTGAGAAATGGCTTAGAATGATTAAAAGATAAATGAATTTCTGACTAATAAATTTTTTAAATAATCATTACATTTTTAATCCCTTTTTATTTAGATTTTTGTATTTTGATTAAATAAAAAAGTAATTAATTTGTCTTACATTTTTTTTATCAATTTATTTAAATTTAAAAAAAAATCTTTAACTGTCCAAATTGTTATATCACATTGTTTAAATTCAATTGTTGAAAACAATTTATTTGAAAAGGAATTGTTTGGACAAAACGGCACCACCACTAGCAAGAATATTGTATAAAACTTCTGATAAGTATAATTAATATTATTGTTTTATTAATTTTTATAATTGGGAAAGTAAAATTAATACATATATTCCCTTTCCCTCAATAGGAATTTTTTTTAACAGGCCCATGCTAAATATTTATTTCTCATACATGGCTAAGTGTGGTATTGCATGGATGCCATAATTTCAAATTAAAATTTCACCACTCCTCTGCCATAAATGCCAAGGTATTAAAGCCATTAATGCTCAAGCGCTGCTTTGTTTACTAATTACAAAGCGCTTGAGATTTACACCCCCTTATCATCTACGTTATGATGGGATGCTGGATTTGCGTACGTACTCTCGCACTCTGTTAGGATTTACACACGCAGCTCGGCCAAAATAATCGCCATCGTCGCCCAGGGCTAATTTTAATGCCGGATACAGACGCCGAGACTAATCGAGCCGCGACTCTCTCGCGCGCGAATATATTAAAAATAACTGCAAAGTTAGATGACATCAGTGAGGTATTTATAATGCATTAGAAGAAAGGTTAACTCCTGCTCATGTTTGGGATAAGCTTTTCCAACACAGGTGATTTTCTAATCATGGTTGTCGATCTCTAGTTTGAAGTGATTATCTATCGAATATAACAATTGCATGGCCGGCCATGACTGAAGGGAAAACGTGACTTGAGGGGCTTCACTTTTCTTTCAAACAACCATGTGATCATCGCGCACCAGAGGTTCTAATTTAGAAGTCTTTTGGTACGTGCCGAGAGCAGCAAATCGATCCAATTTGACGCCTAAACCTCACAAACACATACAGAAATTTTGCTCCAAAAATAAATATATATCATGGAGTCATAATAAAAATTTCACCGCTATATAAAACCGATTTTCAGGCCTAAACACAACTAAATTCTTTTATAAAGCTATAAATCGCCCAAAATTTTGAAAGAATAGAGACATTAAATCTCGCTGTTTTTGTGAATTGGTTTGCGAGTTTGCGGTTTCATTATTTTCACCCTCGGTGATTTGTGAAAAATTCTACTCGCAGGGGCAGGTGCCGACAAACAATGGCCGAGTTCATCTGCCGTGGAGACATTTTATTATTCAGTAGCGTCTAACACAATAACCGCACTCCACTCCAGCCCTCGTCCCAATTGGATTTTGATTGATTATTCAAACGAGCCGATGAACAAATAATGCAGAGCACGGACTGCCGAACAATAAGCGCGATTGGCTGCTTTATCAAAAATTAACGACGCAATCACGCCGAGCTTATTATTCATGGGTGCATCTGCCGCGCCAATCTGCCTGTGTGTACAATTCAAGCTCCGTCTCCTCTACACATTTTATTATTCGCACGAGATATTACACAACTATATACATACAATCGACGCGGGTGGCAGACTGGAAAAACGTACGTCGAGCATCACGCCTGCCGCTAATTAAAAAAACACGCGAAGTTCTTCTCTCGTGACGAGGATATATGTCTAATTCATAATTCATTATATACCAGCCTGAAAACTAGGATACAAGGTTGCGAAAAAGGAAATCCCTCATTTATTCCGAAATGATATCAATTCAAGATTTATGCAAATTTTTGTACACAACTAACACAATTTACTAGGCACTTTTTACTTGAGTTTAGAGTTTTAATTTAATTAATATCTTTTGATTTCAATAAATGTTGAGAAATTATATATAATTTTGTAAATTTAAAAAATATAAAATGTTGAGCTTAAAAAGCATAAATTTTTTTATTCTTAAATTAAGGTTTCTAAAAATTTACCTCCCAGAAGATTTGTTATGTAACTTTTATTTTTTTAGTTCATGTTTTCTGTTGAAGTTCAAATTAAAGTCGTTGTGGGATTAATTGTGAACTTTTGTGAGCGTTTATTTAATTTCATTAAATTTTCATTTCGTTTTAAGATAAGTGTCAATTTAAATTTAATTTTTAAAAGTTCCAAAAGTTATCAGGGTGACCTTGTTAGTGAAAAATTCACGCGTCAAAGTCGTTTCACCACGACAACAAACACGAGCTTGGCGTGTCAAAAATAACATTTTCCCTAGAGCGGAAGATAAAAAACCCGCGAACAATAATTACACTCTAAATTGCACTTTAATGACGAATGGAAAGGTATAGCAAACATGCAATTAAACTCTAATCTAATCGTCACCGCGGACTTCCGAATGCCAACACAAGCAACGTTGCCACTTCCTCTCTCCAGAATCGCAGCTTCGCAATTTCAGGACACACCAATTTAAACTGAAATCGCAAGCCAGCCTGAGATCGGTCCATACAAAAAAAAATCAGGGACAATCTCAGGATGGCCGCTGGAGAGGAAGCGGCACTCGCGGCGTGGCATCCGCAAATCTGGCGACGCGTGCTGCGCAGGCTGCCTACCTTGACTCCAGCAGGAGGGAATCATACTGTTGTGGTGGTGCAAAGGCGCCCCGGGACCCTGGGAAGAAGGTGCCAGGGGCGGTGTGCCCTAGTTATGGCCCCCGTCACCTCCTGCCTGTTGCGCTTGGGCTGCGGCCGCTGCAGCGGCTTTCTGCGCTTGTGCCTGCTTCTCCTGCTCATTGAGCTCTTTAATGGCCTGGATCTCTTTTTTCAGTTTCATGCGTCGGTTTTGGAACCATATTTTGATCTGCCGTTCCGTCAAACACAACGCATGAGCCATCTCTATCCTCCTCCGCCTCGTCAGGTAATGGTTTGTGTGAAACTCCTTTTCGAGTTCAAGAGTCTGATATCGCGTGTACGTTTGCCGGCCTCTCCTGCGAAGGCCATTTGCACCTGAAACAGATAAAAAAAAAAATTAAAATACTTTTCAATAAATAAAAAAATGCATTCAATGTAAACAAATCAGTACAAAGATCCTCAAATTTTATAGCCAAGCATACAAATTTTAAAATCAACCAACCGAAAATTTCAAATTCCTGCATTTCCCGTTTGTGAGTACTTCCGACCGAGTCAGCTTCCGTTACGGAACTAATGAAAATTTTTCATTTCTCTATTTCTGCACCCTTTCCTTATTCTCTCCCCTTCTGCTAAAGAAAATTTCGATCGATTTTATTCAAGTACTGGAGCGGCAGTAATGATCAAATAATAATTTTCCTTCTCACACTTCAGTGGACAGGGGGCCAAGTGAGATATCAAAGGAGGCTCCGATCACGAATTTTTTCTAAGACCGTTTTGTTATCAACCGACAATGAAAATATTTACATTGGATCCCTTTGAAGGCTGCTGCCTTTTTTACGATCACGCCTCATCATCATGTGCTTCTCAACAGTGCTTTTCGGCTGCTCCTGAAGTGAGCTCGAAATGAAAGAATCCCCATGGCTCTCGTTTTAAAAAAAGCGTATCACTCAAGGTTAAGCCTGGCTCGAGGTAAAAAGTGGAAGCAGTCGGTGATCTCGTCGAAAAAATGTACCACGTCTACTCCACCTACCAAATTATTATTATGATGATGGCCGCTGAGCAGAGAGAGCAACGTGCCGGCCAATTTAAAACAAAAATAAGCAGTATAGAAATAGAGAGAGAAAACTAAACGAATTTTGGTTCGGGTGGACAGATATTATGAGTTACGAGGAAAGGCGATTGAGTTGTTTCAAATAATTCAAACTCTTTCTTTCTTGCTTTCGTATATAGCATTTCTTTTCTTTTGTTCTGATCTAATCTCGCGGCGCCATGAGGGAATTTTGACACGGCAATAAATCTCTACTTAACTTTTATTCGTTTTTAATGGAAAAACATTCACGCGGCCTTTGGAGTCTCATAAAAAACGCCATTCACCGACGTGTTTATGATCACGCAATAATTAAAAGACAAAGCAGCCAAAAATAAAAAAAAATAAAAGAGGGAATATTTTTTTTTGAAAACGAACGCCCGGCGATCACGCAAAAGCGCACACAAGGAGAGTCGTTGAAATTATTCCATGTGAAGTGGAATTGTAAATTAGATCGGAATTAAGTCATAAAAGGAGGAGATACACCACCATTATCAAGATGTATATTATGAAATAAGCCGAGATCCAGATAAGGCGGCGGCATGGTGAGAGAACGTGCTTGCCCACAATGCGAATTATGGTTTCCTGCATGAGCTGCCCCCGGTCCGGCATTTCCATTATTTTCAATTGATTCGTGCGCTCTTTCGAATTAACAAACAATTAAATTACCGGTGCGTGGAAATTATTTATTTGTTTACTCAGCGGTGATTTATACTTGACAGGTACAAAAAGGTTGAAAGCAGGAATGCGTTGGCTTGAAAACAAGCAAGCAATTATTTCAGCTCATAATTGTTCCCTTTGTTCGAGTTGCGTGATTCTTTCTTAAATAAATTGGAAGCCGCGGTGTAATTTTTATGGCGATGCAAAAGCAATAAAACTCCCTACACACAAAGGCTCTTTTTCCTAGCTTTATATAATGCATTGAATATTTTTCCGCGCATTCCAAAAGTAATTTCGCGATGTGCGCCTTTATTGGTGGTAAAATCACAATTTTATTGCCACAGTGGATTTTGAATGCTCGCCAGCAGCTTTGAAATCTTTATTGCATTACAGACGAATGCCTCTCGTCATTTATCAGCAGCGGCACAGTACAAGGGCATAAAGAGAAAAACACGCCAGCAGTTACAACACGATGGCAGTGGCGGCAATTTCTCTTGAAAAACGGAAAACGATTAAACACTTTTCCCGCCCGCAACTGAATCAATATCCAATAAAAATAATGTGCACATCACCAGTATGGAAACTCTAAAAAATGGAGTCACGTCTCGATTTCCAAACTCTCATCATATAAAATATAAAATGTGGCTCTCTCTTCACCAAAAACAGGTCGGACTTGTGTCCATCGTCAGGCTACTTTTCTCGGCAGTAATCGTCAAAGCGGTAAAAAAACTTACTGCTGCTGGATTTTCAAGGGCCAATTAAATACAACTTTTGGAAACCATTTTATTGCGATGGCGGCGGATCGAGAACTTCATCTTCTGCCGAGTGTTGCAAACGGCGGCTGGGTATATCGCGCCGCTTAATAGAAATGTCTCATTCATACCAGCGCATAGAATTTTATGATTATGGCCGTCGAGTCGCTCGAAATAAAACGACACTTCATCAGTTTCGCCCAATAAACATCAACAACTTTGTCCAAACAGCGCTGTTGGGTCCGTTTCTCTCAACTTTCAACAACTACTTTTGTTTTCGTGTCGGCAGTGGATGGGGATGATGCGGGATCAAAACAAACGGAAAACTATAAAACTGCCTCGGGATCACGTCGAAATAATGTCCCTTCCATCTGAATTCGATGTCAACAACGCATCAAAGAACTATAAATAAATTTGAATAAAAAATAGATTATTTTAAAAATTCAAATTTCATAGCAATTCCATAATAATGTTTTTTTAGAGCAAAGTGTATTTTTTATTATTTAATATTCAAAATAATATCCTGATTTATTTACATCTTTTTAAAAAAAATATTAATTAAACTCGCTATTCCTGTAAATATTTTTTATCCATTTTTATTTTCAAAATTAAAAGGAAAAAATAAGGGCCATTTAATGATGTTGAATGAAAATGAATATTAATTTTGTACGAAGCCATTGTCTCTTTGTACGGCGTTTTGGAATTTATGTCATCAATATATATACATTAATTCCTTTTTTTATTTTTATTTTCAAAGATTGTCAGATTGGCATCGTGATTCAGCACGGCATCTTATTCTCGTTAAAAGAGAAAATTGCACCTAAAATGCCGCCTGGCATCAAGTTTCCCTCTCTCATGGCCGCGGCATTTTTCCGACACATCATTAAGCGTTGATGCTACTTGCTGCTCAAGACAGGTAGTCAGCGAGTTAAAATAAGGAGGCGCAGCTGTCTGCGTGCAGAATGAAGATAAAAAAAGAAAAACAGGTATCCGTCGAGTAGCCAATTCCATTGTTTTACAATTTTTACTTGTTATCCTGCGCTCTCGTTGCCGGTAATTAGACGTCAGGCCGCTCTTGCTACAGATAACGGACGGCATTTTATTTCCCTCTAAGCGAGATCTTGCTGTTTCCACCAAGAGAATTATTTTCGTCTTGATGAAAATTCCTGCTCTCCGAGTAAATCAAGCGGCCTTAAATGTAAAGTTGCGAGCAGCCTTTTTCTAGAGACTTTCTGTATGTTGACAAAATTCAGAATTAATTAATTTTATCTCTCACTGCCGCGTTCTTCTTTTTATGTTTTAATTGATGCGGAACGAGCCAAGCAAAGGCCGATAAGAATTTGCTGGTGTGCTCAAAACGCGCTGCATTCCGAATTCCGCTCGGAGCTCGACCGATGGCGGAGAGCAAGCGCCCTATATGTGATCTCCTTTACCAATTAAACTGCACCCATAAATCCTCAGCAGTCCACCGAGAAGAGTTAAGAGCTTTACGTTTCGTATCCATGGTAACTTATTTCCATTCTCTGGCGGCGGCGACGCTGCCTCCTCTCTTTTATTCTAATCTAAAAAGCAGCCAAGCGAATGATAACGGCAGAGAGAAGAAACACTGCAACTCAAATCACTCCCTTTCGCCTCCTCATAAATTCAGATTTTTTCCTTTGATAAATATTTTTTGCAGAAATTTCAATGAGCTGGAATCACATCAAAGGCTAACCAGGATAAATTAATTCTTGCAACGAGAAGGAGGGTTTAAAAATGCTAATTACCTCGAGACTGATTTATCACTAATTAAAGGGGGCGGCCTTGATCTGGATTTAAATTGCCTTTTTCAACATCAGCCATGCCGACGCATATTAATTATTCGCATGCTTCCTTTGAGAATTGTCCAATTAAAATGAGAAAAGCGTCACGTCGCACTCCATCTTCTTTCTTATTCTTCTCTCTTTTTTCTTTCTTTCTCTCTCTCTCGTTCCACTCGGCGAAGATAAACTTTTCTATTCCCCTGGTGCTAAACGTTAATTTCGCCTCTTTTTTTTATCCCTCTCCTGCCTCTGATTTCGCTCCCCTTTTCTAATCAAGCTGATAAAAATGTGTCCCTTTAATGACTCTGCGAGCGCCTCTCAGATGTTGCTAATCTCTGCGGCCGCCGTTTAATCCGGAACAAGTGACCTCTCTTCTTTTTCTTATCAATTAATTAGCTTTCGATTCTGAGCAACGTGCAGTTTCTACTGAGTTAATTAATGTCAGGAGGTGAACTGCGTGTGCAAAACTCACGCTTTCCGTCTCTCGGCTCGGATTAGAGTCTCCTCTACCGAATCCAGTTTGGCCAACTCTAAATACGCCGAGCTCGAAATTAAGGCAGCCCGGCTTTCCAGCAGAGACACAAACAGACACGGCCTGGCAAAAGTTTTAATCTAAAGAGCTTTGGAATTCCTTGCACCACAAATCAAAATGTCTTTCTCTCTAGCCGTGCTGTTGCTTTGTGGATGTTTCTCTCTTGCTTTGATAAAATTTTCTTAAGAGAGTTTTAGTTGCTGGAAATGGTGTCGGCACGCACTTAACCGCCTTTTTGGCTCTTCGATAAAAGTTTCCAGACCGATCATGTGTCATTATATTGGATATCACGCCGTGGCAGCAGTTGGATTGGAGTTTTTCAGAGTTTTATCTACGATGAGCACTCTGCTGTATGGAATGGCGTGTCACGCACTCGGATAGCCGCGAGTCTATTCTGAAAATTTGGCCGCATTTGCTTATCAATTTGATCTTTTCCAAGTTCGTACTCATTGGCCTAAAATTATCCACAACAAACAGAAATATTTTCCTCTTTTTTGGCTCATTTCCAGCCTGTGCTTAATAATAGCAGCAGGGCCTCGATA